TATGTGGTCAGCAACTGCAGCAGCTGCCGGTTCTCCTGAATGACCTCCAGCTGGTCAGAATCCTTCGGGGGTGATGTTGTCATTCGGGTGAGCCAGGCCTGCAGGCGCACAGGCTCCACACAGGCCAGCTGGGCAAGAGAGCCACAGAGATGAAGGAGGCTTGGGTTAGGGCTCTTCTCAGCTAAAATGGGACAAGAGGCTTCTGTCAGTGAGGAGGGCAGGGACCTCCAGGAAGGGGCAAACAAAGCCAGAGGAGAAGGAAAGGCCTCAAGAGTTTCAGCACCTTTTCCAACTTTCTCTGAAGGATTCTCTACACTTGTTAGCATTGTCATGCCGTGGCTAAATTCAGGCAGAAGCCTGGCACAGTATTAGCCAGACATCAAAGTTCCCATAAGAAGATTACCAAAAGCTGTCACTCACTCAGCTGGAAGAGTTTGGTGAAGAATTTCAAGACTCGGTTACAAAATTTAGCAGAGAGGTCCTCATTGGCTGTGGCCATCATGATCTGCACAAGTTCTCCACTGTAAGGCATGAGGAGAAATGAAAGAGCCACAGTAAGCCTCACATAAAAAGAACCTGTTCCTACTTCAGTCTCATTCCTGGGGGAAAATGGCCACTTGTGAATCAACCACACAAAGTGCTTGTGGAATACAGTGCCTGATCAACAAACTCCCCCAGGAGACAGACACCCCAGCAGGCCTTCTGGGGTCCCCGAGGACAGCTGAGTTGGTACATATAGCCCCTGCTTTCAGGAGCCTTGAATATGGAGTTAAGGGAGACAGTGCTCACCCATCAGAGAAGAAATCCTCCATGGCTTTCCGGGCCTGGTTGCTCTCCAGCTGCTTTTCCAGATACTGCAAACATTCCTCCAGGATCGACTCATCCAGCCCACTGAGAAGCAAGACCACAATTCATCAGACCCCTCCCAACTGACTCTGAAGAACATGATGACTACACCTTAAGGCAAACATTTCGTTTTGATTTGTCGAAGTATAGTATAAACACTGGCACACAGTAGGTGTTCAATAAATGTTTAATCCAAGAACCACAAGACCTCAATTTTATTTTACTCCCTTCTTTCCTGGGAAAATAAAGAAGGGAGAGATAAGCCAGGTGTGAGCTCACATGCCTGCAATCCCAGCACTGGGAGGCAAAAGTGGGGAGTCAAGTCTCAGGCCAGTCTGAATTCCAGTGACAGACCTAGTCTTGTAAAATGTAAAGTAAAACAAAATTCAGTCCAAAGAGGAAAGGAATCTGAAGTTAGGAGTGAGCCACAGTCAGCCCAGGACTGTTTGCAGAGGAGGGAGACAGTCTCCATGAATCAATTCTGCAGGGCTAAATTGCCTCACACTCCTTATGTTTAAAAAACAAAAAGAGGGGCTAGGAAAAGGCTCAGTATGTGAACTATCTGTCACACAAGAGTAAAGGCCAGAGTTCAGATCCCCAACATACATAGATGCCAGGCAGATGTTGTGGACCTGTGCACTGGAGGCAAAGAGACGCTTCCCAAGAGTGGTCTGGCTGACTAGCTAAGACTGAAACCCTGAGCTCAGGGTTCAAATGAGTGAGATCCTGGCTCACTAAGATGGAATACAGTGAAGATAGACCAAGTAAGACCCCCAGGATGAGTCTTGGGCGGCACCCATACCCACACCCACATACCTGTGGAGATACATATACACACATGCAAAAAAAATACACCCTGGTAATGCCAGCACCTGGAGACTGAGGTAAGAGGAACCCAAGTTCAAAGCAACCTGGCTGCACAGCAGGAGAGGAGCAAATGAGAACTGGGGAAGGAAAACTAAAGAAAGAAAAGGTACTTGAAGAAAAGCCAAGTCTTCAACACAGAGGAGGTAGGAAGTGCTACTACTTCAGCCTTCCCCACAATTCCTGAGTGGGGAGAGGAGAATACAGCACATCCCTACAGCACAGCCTAAAGAGGCAGGCCAAAGACCCACATTCCCCAAACCATCCACTTCAGATAGATATAAACATGAGAAGGAATTTCACTGGCGCCTCTGTATATCTCACCAAGTCTAGTCTCACTTCTTCCATTATCTAATACTCCCATATGAACAGTTAACATTCCATTCTCTCAACAGCTATTCCCAAAAATCAGTCACGACACAAGCTTCCAGTACTTCTTCATACACTTCCACATTGAATGCAAAACACCCAGAAGCACAGAATCAAGGAGGTGCCTGTCACCAACATGGCACGGGGTCAGGAGTGGTGCATCTCACCACCAGCTGCAACAGCTCTCTTTTAACTGCTCACCTGTTGGGATCTGCATGGTTGGGCAGAATGTTGTAACACCCAGTGATCAGCTTCTCATACACACGAGCCAGGAACTCATCAGACTCCGCAGGTCCCAAGATGCGCTCCAGAGAGTTACTGCTGATCTCAGCAACACTCTCTGTGCTCGACTCCAAGAGAAGGGGTAGCAGAGTCCGGATGACCTGTGCTGGGTTCATCTCATCCGACCACCTGGAGCCAGGGAGACGGAAGCAAATTAGGGAACGTGCCCTGAAATACTGCAAGTCTAGGGCCAGTCAACTGGGGAGAGCGTCTAGTTTAGTCCAGTCCCTCCTTAATAGCTGTGTCTTATGTGTGTATAGCCACACCACTTCATATTTTTCTTATTAGAAGCAAAAATCATTTCCATATAAAAATTCATTTATTCAGGTGGTGGTGGCACATGCCTTTAATGCCAGCACTCAGGAGGCAGAGGCAGGCTTAAGGCCAGCCTGGTCTACAAAATGAGTTCCAGGACAGCCAGGGCTACAGGGAAACACTGTCATTAAAAACAAAACAATTGTTTATTAAAATAGAAAATTAATAAGATACATTTGTGTAGTAGGCATAAAAGAAACTAAAACCAGAGACAGAAATCTATCGTTGAATACTCTAGAAGAGCAGTCAGGAATCTAGACCACTCTGAAGGCAATGTAACATAGGATTCTCCTGTGGCCTAAGTACAGGAAGACAAACTGTCCCTCTGGTGGCCTGCCCTACTCCCTGACTCTAGAGAACACTATGCAGTAATGTCACCATCACCTCAAATGTACTCTACTCCTTCAGCCACAATACAGTACCCACATTATGAACACATTTGGGGGAGCTGGGCTCCAGGCTCTGGTACTCACACAATCAGATCCCCAGTCAACCTGACCAGCGAGAGCAGGGTATGTTTCAGGGAAGCCGCCAGGGGCAGACTCTGGCCACAAAGAGTCCCAAGGTGAGCAGCCTGCACAGCACTGATGTAACTCTCAGATGGGATGGTGTCATTGGCAAACGCATTGCGCTGAAAGAGAATCAAGAATAATGAACAGATCATCTTACCTGATCAAAAGTCAGACACAAATTTAAAAAAAAAAAAAAAATTACCATAAGCTAAGGCTTACAAACAGTGCCCTCCACTGTCATTCTTACTGCGGACACTGAGCTCAGGGGAGGAGGCAGTTAAATTTTATTTAGAACAAGGTTAATAGTTAAACACAGCAAACACCCAATACCCCCTCTCCAATTGATCTGAGCATGTAACAGTAAAACTACTGCTTGTCTGGAATAACTAGGAAGGATCTGGACTTTGCAAGGCACCTAGTCTCCATTACTAGGACCATAATTGTCCTAAGGCCACAACTGTAAAGCCAAGAGAGGAAGAGGAATCGTCCTTTGCTCCTCCACAGAAATAAAGATAGTCTGAGAGGCACAGACACAAGAACACCACAGCACCTGACAGCCCAGAAAGCCTAAGATCTGCTGCATCAACTTGCTGTGGAACAATGTTTGCACACTGTAAATATGTATTACTTTTATTGTTAATATGACTGGCCAATAGCTAGGCAGGATTTTCAGGGCAGACAGAATACTGGGAAGAAAGGCAGAGTCTCAGGAGTCAAGAGCAGCCGCAGAGGGAAGCAAGAAGAACATGCCATGTTGAAAGAAAGTACCACCATGTGGAAGACAGTAGATAAGAAATATGGGTTTATTGAAAATGTAAGAGTTAGCTAGTAACAAGCCTGAGCTATCAGTCAAGCATTTATAATTAATTTTATAATTAATAATAAGCCCCTGAATGGTTATTTGGGAGCGGCTGCTGGGACACAGAGTAACTCCGCCTACATCAGCTCACAGCAGAGCAGCACCTGACACAGGCATGAAAACAGTCAACACTGAGAGCTCACACAGCACATCACAGGACAGTATGTCACACCTCACCAGAGTTTAACAGGCAGCACAGCCATGGCTCAGAGAAATACAATGAATGCTCTATGTTCTGGTAAAATGGACTGCTAGGCAAAGGGGCCACATGAGAACACTCGGGCAATCAAACACTCTGAATATTGATTCAGCGTGAAGCATAAAGAACAAGGACACACGGAGTGGTTTAGTGCTCAGTACTAGCCCTGGAACCCAGAGGGACTCACCCAGGATCCAATGTTGGGAAACTCATTGGTGTTGATATTATTCCAGGACTCACAGACAGTCTGCACTGATGATGGCAAATTCTGCACCAGTGTTGGACCTGGAGGCAACAGTAAGGATGAGTAATCTGAGCAATCACCACAAGAAAGAAGAAATGACAAGAGTATTTAAAGCAGCCCCAACTGTCAAAACCATTACTAAGACAGCTTAGATGGCTATTTCTGCAGCTGTACTATGTCCAAGAACCAGCTAATTACTCAGCAGCTAACAAGCGCAATGATAAAGCTTTCATTTCCCATCAGTCACTTTGTAATCTCAAAAGTAAAGATGACAACCGAAAACAAAGGAGGGGAAGCATTTCAGCACATCAGGCTCCAATCACCACCAAATCTGTCCACTCCTATCCTCAGTCTCAGAGGAAGTATTGCTTTGAAACTCGCTCCCACCCCAACTAATCCTGAGGGCAGGGATCATCAATCCACATGAACAGCAAATACTGAAGCAGTACTGACTTCGAAAATTAAGAGTATTTAAATATGACACTGGGACACACAGACAGTTGTAAATGGTAAAGGAGAATTTCTGAGCTGACTCCCATCCTACTCAAGAACTATGATTTTCTGCCCTATTTTTTGCCAGAGAGATTGTAGTCTGATGCAGTTGTCAGTTCCTGTTACTAAGCTCTACGAGTCAAATAACACCAGAGACGAGCACAGACGAGTGAAAGCAAGCAGCCTTGTCTGTCCTCAGGAGCTAGCTGGTCTTGGTTTAGATTTCAGCTTCATTGTTGTCATAGGAGTCATGGCATATGAACTTCTCCTAACCCTCAGCTTCCCTGTAAGCAAACTGGAGAGACTTTACTTCACAAGCTATTGGGAAGATCCACTCGAATACACCTAAGGAAATGCCTGGCACTCAAAGTGGTCCACTAAGTGCTAAAGGCCAGGGGAACACATGTGCACACTTACCCAGCGTGTTTGCCTTGCACCTGCCAGAGCCAATAGCCAAAACAGCGGCAAAGCCATGCAGCTTCTCCTGGGAGGGCTTCTCGGTGGTGGATCCCTCTTCGTTAAGGTTCTGAAGCAAATAGGCTCTGAAGGGAAAGGAGGAAGGAGAAGCTGGAGGAACTGAGTCCTGCAACACTCAGGAGAAACTAACCTTAGAGTATCTCAAGAACCAGCATCTCTGATCCCAATCTACTCAAGGACAGGTGACAGTACCAGTCCCTTCATGGGGAAAGGGCAAGTATTTCCCAAAGAACAGTCCACCCTCAGAAAAGCTCCCAAAATACAATTCCATGATGAGCAAATCTGAAGGGCACTGAACACTCCTACCCTGCTTCACCTATCTTGGAAGACCAACAATATATACATACATATATGCATGCACACACACACATACATATGCACTGAGAAGATTTATTTTTTTAAAAAATAAGCCAGGTGAGCCAGGCATTGGTGGCGCACGCCTTTGATCCCAGCACTCGGGAGGCAGAGAAAGGAGAATAATTGCCTCCATCTGCAAGGCACTGACACTAAAGGACAAGATTACTTCAGTTACACTGATCCAGGTCCCTGTCAACAATTATCACAGAACAAGGATTAAACAATAAGATCCCAGGGACCCCAATAGACAATGAACTTAAGAAGGTCAGGCAGGACCTGCTGAAAGGAGAAACACTCCTCCATGCCACCCCATGACTGCTGTGTAGAGGCTAGTTTTGCCAGCTTACTCATACTTGTTCAGAATCACTTTTGGGGGTTAAGAAGTATAGAATATGGGTCTCACGTAGCTGAATCAACTATTCCTGTTTCCACCTCCTAAGTGCTAGGATTACAGACATTGGCGAGCAAGCCTGGCTTTCCTTCTTTTCTCTCCCAGTACGGAGGACAGAATTTCCTAGTTCTAATTTAAGAAAAACTAGAAGTCTCAATTTGCGGGTGAACTCCAATTTGTATATATTGAATCATTTGCTGAGCAAACTGTATAGGACATGCAGTTTGCAAAGTTTGCTGAAGAAAGAGAAACATTTTGGAATACCCTCCAACCCATTAAGGAATATTTGTCTCTCAGGCCTATAAGCCCAGCATCTAGGAGGCGGAGACAGAAGGACTGCTATGAGCTTGGGAGCAAACCAGAATGAGACTGTTTCAAAACAGAGTTAATACTTGCTCCTACATCTAGGTATCAAAAACTAGAAGCCCGCCATTCCCACTCAGAAAACAGCCTATCCTCTGTAGCCTAGAACTAACTTATACAAGTATTTCACAGAATTCTAAAAATTCAATGTACTGGGACTTTCCCTCTTGGTCACCCCTTTACACTCTGTACCACAGAGGAAAAAGCAAAACTGGCACACAAGGAGGGGTACAGGCCAAGACCCCAGAGATCTCTCAGCTAGTCTCCGTACCTAGTGAACGAGGCATAGGTGTCGATGAGTTGCAGCGTAGCTGGAAGGAGGTTCTTGGTGATCTCAGATGACTTGTGAGGATCAGTCTCTGCAGCCATCTTAGAAAAGTGCTCATCCAGAGAGACCTGGACCTTTGAGATAGCTGCGTCCAGGGTGTAGATGGACTGCAGACTAGGGATCTCATGGAGCTGCAGGACGGTGGTGCAGTCGATGGAGCAGAATGATGAGATCTTTAAAAACACCCAGGATAATAATTAGCTGTGGCAAAGGCTGTGGCAGAGCCCATTCCGTTGCTAGGGTTAGAACAGTAGCACACCTGTCGCGCAAAGTACTCCTCTACAATCTCAACATCGTATTTCACCGAGTTACACTTGGTGGAGGTCAGTTCTACGAGAGAGCCAGCATGCTCGGGCTTCATGCCCTGTTTGATAAGGTGATCCTGTTTGGACAGCAAGAACAAGTGTTTAGGAAAATAACCTGGAAGTCCAAAAGCTTTCATTAACTTTAAAAATCCCCATAGTGTGAAGCAAGTTGTCTGTGACGCTCGCTCCCTCACAGCACTGAGCTCCCCTGTGGCACCTTTATCCAGGTGACATAGGAGCTGATCCGGAGGCGGGATGACCACCGCAGAGTGTGTAAGATGTCACATTCACTCATCTCAGGTAGGTTCATTGCCAGTTGGTTCATGTAAGTCTTTGAAGGTGGCAAAATCCCCAAGATCCTCCAGAGTATCAAGAAGTAATACTGCAGGGCGCAGGCCTCCTAAAGAGGTGAACGGAAGCAGAGGAAGCATGTGGCATGTTCAAGATCTCCCTAATGTAACAACTGTTCCAAAAGATAGCCTTTCAAGCAGAACCGTGTGCCATTGTGAACTGAGCCCCCAGAACATCACAGCACACAGGGAACCATGTGCCATTGTGAACTGAGTCCCCAAAACATCACAACACACAGGGAACATGTGCCATTGTGAACTGAGAGCCCTCAGAACATCTCAGCACACAGAGAACCATGTGCCATTGTGAACTGAGCCCCCAGAACATCACAGCACACAGGGAACCATGTGCCATTGTGAACTGGGAGCCCCCAGAGCATTAAACCAAACAGGCAGCTACACTACGACACTCTGCTCTGTTCTGCACACTGAGAAGCTAGGAGGTTGCTCTCAGACAGCTCTGGCTTCCTGGTACTTTACCATCTAACCAAGGGAGAGGAAGGGAGCTGGGTAGGACCTCAATCAGCCAGCCCTTCAGTAAACAGCATGGAAGTGTGCAGAACTGTTATAAGGCATCTAGAAACCCACATGCACTCATAGGCCAAAGAAAGCTCAAGTGTGAGCCTTCTCACATGACACAACAACCAGCCATTGACACTGGGGCAGCCACCAACCCTCAATCACATTTCTCTCAACATTAACCAAGACCTAAAAGTACAGCTGACAGAGCCATGCAAATTATATAGAAATGCTACAGAAACTGTCAGTTTTGCAAACCAAAGTGGAATGAAGAGCTCAGGCCTACAAAAAAACTTCAGGTTGAAATGATCAACCATCACACATGGACCCAGCCCCTCCCCACTCTCCACAGTCTTACCAGGGCTGTCACATTCTTATTTTCCTTCCTCCTGACTGTATCAAGCTGAGAACCAGCTGCAAGCAGGGCTGTCAGCGAGGTGTAAAGCTCATCATACTTGACAAGCTTGGAGAAGAGAACTTCACATGCCTAATACCAAGAAAGAACAAAAATTTAGATCTAGGTAGTATTGCACACCTTTGATTCCAGCACTCAGGGCAATGAGGCAGGAGAATCTGAGTTCCAGGCCAGTGAACTACCACAGTAAGAAAAAAAACTTTTTTCCCTTCAACTTGAAACATTTTCTGCTACTGACCCTGCATGATCACTTAGTCTCCTGATTGTAAAAACATCTCATCTACTTATCTTTAATTGGTTTCTCCTTGCAGCAGACTGCCAATTGGGGAGGGGGGGGTTACACTTGAGTTTGTGTATTAATACAAGCACACAGATCAGGCTTTAGAATGAGAGTAAGGCAACCATTTTGTTAAATGATTTGTTACATTTTTGATACTCAAATGCTAGTATGTGTGGAGTAGTGGGGAGCATCTGACCAGGGCAGGACAGGGCAGGGCAGGACAGGGCAGGGCAGGGCAGGGCAGGGCAGACCTTATAAACCCAGCTACTCAGGAAGCTGAGACAGGATGATTGCTTGACCTCCCTCATGCTTTCAAAACCAGCTTAAGAACATAAGGAAAGACCCTAACTTTTTTTTTCTCTTTTGTTTACCGAGACAGGGTTTCTCCATAGCTTTGGAGCCTGTCCTGGAACTCACTTTGTACACCAGGCTAGCCTTGAACTCACAGAGATCTACCTGTCTCTGCCTCCTGAGTGCTGGGATTAAAGGCATGCGCCACTACCGCCCTGCAACCCTAATGCATTAAAAAGAGGAAAAGAAGAAAAAAGAAAGGCAGAAAAAGGAAAAGAAAAAGAAATCCCAGAATAATAAAAATAAAGGAAAAAGAAAATTCTATGAGAAGAAATAAAGAAAAAAAGGACAAGAGAAAGAAAAAAAAAGAAAATTTCCAGTACCACAGAATCGAGCCGGTGCAAATCCTCCTCAGAGGCCTCTGGGGATAGGACACAGTAGAACCTGGGTTGTGGGGCTGCATCTGGAAAATGATGAGCTTGTTAACCAACTATGAGGCATGTGAAAGTCAATTTCTACAACTTTTCTGAACTGGCAGGTGATGGTCCACCCTCAAGGGGGAGACTGAGGCCCAGGGCCAAAGCTCCTCCAGGAGCCACTGAGCTACAGATGCAATGCCACCCACAGGACCAGCAGGCACCACCCTCTTGCTGTCAATGTTCTTTCTGACCTGACGAAAGGTGTTTGGACCAGTTTTCTTCTACTTCCTTGAACCCATGATAAAGTGGAGTGTTGGCCCGGCGGCTGCTACTGTCTTGGGATCCACTTGCCCACCCAAAAGGGGGGCTCAACAGGTTGTGTTGCACCTTTGAAACACAGACACTCGAGTTAAGGATATACAGCCACCATCTGCTTTTCACACCAATAACAGATCTACTAATACCAATACCTGTTAGCATCAAATGAAAATGAAAATTTGAAGATTTTTCTGTGATTTCTTTTAGAAAGTAATTTTTGATAGTACATCATGGGGAACGATGCTCCATGAATTAGTCTAAACACTGTTAGGCACAGCACCTCTTAACCTACCCTCTCAACCTCTTTTGTGTCTTCACAAAGGACTACAATTAGAGCATTTACTGTGGGACCCTTCCTCAGGCACTAATACACATGCAGGGCCAAAGCTGAGGGTGCTGCAGCAAGTAGACAAGCCACATGAGCGAACAAGAGGACACCACCCAGCAACAACCCCATCAAGTAGTCCCCGGTATCACTTCAGGCTAAACAGAAAGTCCAGTCCCAAAGACTTAAACTAGCCCCACTCATAAAGCCTTCCTAGCCACAAATAAAACCTTATTGCCTGCAAAGAAGGAGAGCGAGGAAATGGTGTGGGTCTCTTCACCTGCTCAAACAGGTACATGGGAGCTTTGGAGTACTGATGAAGCAGGTAGTCGAAGATCAAAAGGAGGCGTGCCAGGGTTAGCGGCACGGAGCGCATCTGCACCTCCATGTTAACACTCAGCTCCTGGATGCTCTGCACCAGCATAGTGAAGATGGCCCTGCGGCCCTTCTCAGAGAAGCTGTGGAAGATGAGGAGGAGCAGCTGCAGATGCTCGACATTCAGGTCTTCTGTCTCACTGGGCACCACCCCCTGCAGTGCATTCTGCTTCATTGTAGACAAAAACCTGGCACAGAGAAAAGGGGAGCATGTCTGGTGGAGAAAGCCCAGAACAAGCCCAAGATTACAACATCCAGTGCTGGAAGGAGAACAAGCTAAAAAAGAGAAAAGCCAGTGCAGAGAAGCCAAAAAGTCAGATGTGGGCCAGCAAGATGGCTCAGTGGGGCTAAGACGTTTGCCACCAAGTCTGTCACCCCTTTTTATAACCCCAAGTCTCACATAGTAAGAAAGAACCAACTCCACAAGTTGTCCTCTGACCTCTACATGCAACTGTGTGTGTATGTACACACACACACCCACATAGTTCTAAGCCAGGCAGGAGGAGGGGAGACAGAGGGGGGTGGGGAAAGGAATATTGTATCTGGGAACTTGTCAGAAGAGCCTTTATAAAACAAGGAATAAGCACAGTCAACTGCCTGTATGTACTTTGGCTTTTAGGAAAGAGATCTGCACTTTAATACGGGTGCCCTTCCCTTCATCCCCAGCTCCCAGGAACCTGTTTGCAAGACTGCCACAAAGAACACAGTGGGCCTCTGGCATTCAAACAGGGCTATGGTCTTACAAATCCAACATTTACAGCTATGTGATCCTAGGCTGGGGGATAGAAGTGCAAAGCCTTTTAGGAAAACAAACTGCTTTGAAGCCTAACCATGTTTAAAAAAAAAAAAAAAAAAGGTCCACCTAAGGAGGATTTAGGTGATTAAGCTGAGCTCCCCCCAAGGAAACAAGTTTTTTAAAATGTATCCAAAACTGAGAGTGCACCGCACCACTCTAAATGGGCTCATGTAGGAAGCACACTAACCAAGGGCATGCCGCCTTTCTCCTCCAGGAGACTGGTCATCTTTGGAATCCAGGCTCTGAATGACAATTGTAACCAAATCTTCCATGGCTACAGGAAGCGTCTTTTCCCAGACCACACTGTTTAACAAAACATCTGCCAAACTCCCCCATCACTTCTCCACCCCTCCTAAATACAGACAGCAGGTTCTTACAGCGAGATCGCCAACCAGTCAAACCCTTACACATAGCACTCAATCATCCCCAGACCTGTTAGGGTCTTACCTGTCCCACACTTTCAGGCATTCTGGGACGTCAGGATCACCTTGTGCTCCAGCTTTATGTTGCCAGATAAGCAGGAGGCGGGAAAGCACAGAGAGGCCTTGGGGGTGAATGTACAGGGGCCAAGGACCCTCAGAGAAAGGAGCAACTCCCAACTGCTGTAGCAGTGTATTCTGAAGGAAAAAGAGACACAGAACAAGTCAAAAGGTGATATACATTTACCAACGCTCCTTTTTGAATAATGAACAAGAAAAGGACTTGGCAGTATTATGTCTAGAAGAAATCTGGAGAAAAACCATGTTGTCCAACAAATGAGAAAAATACAATGAACCCCAATTACACCTGCAGCTTAATTAGTGTCTACAACAGGCTTTGGAAAAAGACAAGTGCTTGGAGACAGTGAATCACGGCAGTTTTCAAAGAGGCTGGGAAGTGAACAGTTGGTGCCTTCAGAAGGAAACTCAATAGATGTCACAGTGGATAGACTGTTAGTTTTTGTTCTTGTTTTTTTCAGACAGAGTCTCTCTGTGAAGCCCTGGCACAACTGGCTGAGTGCTTCATTTACAGCTAGTTAACTCAGACAAGTAACATACGGGACAAACACACACACACACACACACACACACACACACACACACACACACACTCTCTCTCTCTCTCTCTCTCTCTCTCTCTCTCTCTCTCTCTCACTCCTTGGGTATCTGACAAGTGGTAATAGTGTTAAATAGAGAAATGCTGCCCATGAGAAGCCACTATGTGTTACTCAGCAGGGCCATCTATTGAAAAGCCCTGCTGGTCAATGGTTACAGTTACCATGGCCTGGCAGCTCTCTCAGAGCTCGGCAACATGGAGGACTCCCTCCCCAGCAGACATCCTACCTGCCCTTATTTGGAGAAGGGCTCTAAGCCTGGAGGCCTGACCTTATCTTAAAGTTGTCCCTAACCCTGGATGCCTGATTTATCTCTAGTGTGACCCTTGGCATAGTTCCCTGTTAGAGCTCTCCTCCGGCTGCCCATATGTAACTATGACTTGTACTAGGAGCTTTATGATAGGAGTGTGATGTTTAATGCAAGTTAGGTGATGCCCAGCCACTGGCCCAGCCTTTATATCCCCCTCTAGTTCTGGAATAAAGTAGAGCTATAATACTTAAACTGTCTTCCTAGAGAGCTGACTTGTCAACTCAATAGCCATGTGACCCTGCTCACTTGCTCTGTTCCCTCCCCTTCATGGACTTGCAGCCAACAATCCCTGAGGAAGGAGAACCACAGCAGTCCTTACTCCAGCTGAGTATCCCTCCTGAGGAACTAAGTGCAAATACACACAGTGAGCAGGTGCCACTGAAACACCACACAAATGTCTGATTTGCCATATGGCTTTGAAAGAAACAAATCATGCTAGAAGAAATTATTTTCTTTCTTTTCTTTTTTATTTTATTTTATTTTTTCAAGACAGGGTTTCTCTGTGTAGCCCTGGTTGTCCTGATAATTACTTTGTAGATCAGGCTAGCCTTCGACTCAAAACATCTGCCCACTTCTGCCTCCTGAGTACTAGGATTAAAGGTGTGTACCACCAGTGCCAAGCAACTAGAAGAAATTTCTAAGTCTGACAAACAAAATTGTATTCTGCAATATCCTTGATAATGCAACTCCTTGAAATTCAGTATCATGGATCTCAAGGGCTGTTTTCAGTACCAGGGAGTCACTCGATGGCCAAGCACTGCACTGACAGCAATGCATACAGTTTCCCAGGGAACTTACAGCCCCCTAACAGACAAGGATGAAAAGAAGTTGGGAATTCCCTGTGCCATGACGTCAGCAGTCCACACAAGTTGGCAGCTCCCTCTCAAATGCCGAGAGCAACATCACTATGAGAGGCCTAGGGATTCCAGTCCAGAGAAAAGCATTTCGTCTCTGTTCTCTAGACAAGTAGGCAGGACAAGACTATGAACTCTGAAACTTCCCTAAGTAAACTCCACTGGGGAAGAAACTGAGCACTGCAGGACCAGCTTCAGACAGTCTGGGAAGCTGCTGCAGAAGCCACACACTGAACAGCTCACTCAACCTATATTTCCTTCCTGCCACAATAGAGTATTTCTCTTAACAATAGGCAGGGTTAATACATTTCACAACCATCTTTTTAAACAACAGAGGAAAACTTTAAGGGTTCTCTCAAACATTTTGGGAATCTGAGAATTTAACTTTTTCCAATAGCTTCCTAGGTTTTATTCCTTTGGGAGAAACTGGCAAGCTCCTAAAATACAGTACATCTGCTGTCTGCTGAAATAATCGCTTTGTTTGGATTTTTTTAGATAAAAGTTTCATGACGTTGCCAGGGGACAGCCTTGAATCTGCCATCCTCTTGCCTCGAATCTGAGCAGACACTGATATAATTAACAGTAACAGAACAACTTTCAAAATAGTTTCAGGTCAGACTTGGAGATCCTCCTGACTAACTGGCACTGGGGGAAGGAACAGTATACAGAAGAAATCATCCTTTTGTCTGGGGTTCAGGAATCAAAGCCAGGGCCTTGCATGAGCAGGCATGTGCTGTACCAGCTCCACCCCTGACCCAGAATCCACATTTTAAAACATCTCCTTGTGTACATTAAAAATAAGTTAAAACTAACTTTGCCCATGACAAAAAAAAACAAAAAACAAAAAAATTGCCTGCTGGAGCAATGACACAGGCCTGTAATCCTAGGCAATACAGGAGGACTGCCAAGAGTTTAAGGCCAGGTTAGGCTAGAGTCCCAAGTTAGCCACAGCTAGAGAGAAATCTTAGTAAAACTAAAACAACTCAAGTCTTAATAAAAACAGCCAAGTTATCATCAAAATATGACACTACCGAATGTGAGAAAAGGGTATAAATCCACATGACCTGACACCTAGCTAGCGGGAGTGAAAACTGCAGTCGTTGTACAGCAGTGTGGCCTGATGTACTGACGCACACTGAATAACCTGGCAATTCTACTCCAAGTGACAGCCCCAAGAGAACTACTCTCCTCCACACATCACAGGGAACACAAGTAAGAAAGACCATAGCAATATCTGGAATGCAATAAGCCTGGACACAATTCAAATGCATCTCGTGGAAATAGAGAAGATGAATCAAGCTGTATTCATCAAGCTGTTGTGTTATGCAAGCACAACAGGTATCACACAGCAGTGTAAATAATACAGAATACTCTGTTATAGACAGTGTAAATAAGGACTAAGAAATATTCGCTACAGACGAATCTTGGCAAAAGACATCTATGATTAATACTAAGTGAGAAGCAAAGCACATAATGCCATTCACTATAGCTAAAAGCGTTTTAATTTGAGGAGTATAGATATATGTGACACTAAAGAAATGAGGACCTTGAGACTTAGGGTTCAAACCATCACCTACTTCAGTAGGGAGGGAATCATGCAGTTTCATGTTCAGTCAAGGTCCTGGACTCAGTTTTGGTGATAGATTTGTAAGGGAAGCATATCTCCTGTGACGTGATGGCCACTTTTACAGTGCCTTTAACTTTGTATTTTCCTCATCAGACTGGTAAACAACTGTCACTCTTACTTTGTAAATTACTTTTGGCGAGTTCTGACTACTGGTCTACTATGAGAAGCACGGGAGCTAGTTTAGCTGTTTTCTTCCTTTCTTTTAACTTCATGACTTAGGGAAAAGAACATCTTTTTCTTCCTAATATCCTAACCACTACAGAGAGGAACACAGAACACCCAAGCAAAGCTCTGTCCAGCAGAGTAAAAACAAGCATCCTTCAATCATGAGAACCACCACATCCCGGGGAAGGTGAGGTGTTCCTGCCTCGGCAGCCACAGTAGACACCAACCTGAAGGTTCGGGGACTGTAGGTCAGAAGTTACCAGGGAGTGGTTGAAGTGATAGAGAGCAGCAGCAAAGTCCTCATCTGATGACCCTTAGGACAGAGGGATACAGTTACTCAGGAACTTGGAACCATAAGTGCCCTGTAACAACACCCAGCCTCTCCACTGACCTTTGAGTCCATCTTTGTCCACCTCTTTAATGATGCTGGCCAGAGTGGCCATATGGTGCTCTGAAAGAGACACACTAAGATAGTTCCGGATGAAATTGTTCCGAGAATTCAACATGGACGATGTGATAAAGTTCAGGATGTTGGAAGCCAGACCTAAGAACTAAAAGGAATAGAAAACAACTGAGATCAGTGTCACAGTATTATACAAGTATTTGTATAATAGTAGTATACAAGCCCAGAAGCCCTCATGCCAAAACTGAAGGCTATTGCTTAATTCTTACAGTAGGACCATATCCATGAGAATCAGCTGCACAAAATGGAACACCCACTTGATCCGACCTCAGAAAACACTGTCCTTTTTGTTGTTGTTGTTGTTGTTTTTGTTTTTCGAGACAGGGTTTCTCTGTGTGGCCCTGGCAGTACTGGAACTTGCTCTGTAGACCAGGCTGGTCTCGAACTCACAGAGATCCATCTGCCTCTGCCTCTGCCTCCCAAGTGCTGGGATTAAAGGCATGCACCACCAACGTCCAGCCCCTCAGAAAACACTGTGTGAGGCAGGGCCTCAGAGCCCACCATGTCCAGCTCCAGACACTACTAGTATCATACTGGAGACCGACCCCCTACATCAATGACTATTACACATATACACATTCTTACCTTTATTATTAAATTGATATCTCATTATTATAAAAACTATTAAATGATTCTATAAATGGTTTATGCACATTACCTTGAAATAGGAAGCTACATGAAAAGATTATACATGACTCATTTACTGATAAACTATCAGAATAGGGACTGAAACACAAAAGATAATCAATAAATATTAGCTGAGTCAATAAGTAAGCGTTTCTGATGCAGCAGACCTAGGCTGCAGGCTTTGAAAACACTTTCACAACACCTTTCAGGAAGGGTTCAATCACTCCCCAACAAGGAGACATGCAGATTCTGACCCAGAACCATCAAGAGGAAAAAGGAAGCTTCAAATCAGCACTGGAAACAAGTTATTTAATGACACATAATTACTCCCTGCAAGTCCTACACAGAGGCTTTAGCTCAGATGGTCTGCTTCTCAGCTCAACCATAGACGGAAATAACCCTCCTCCCCCACCACCAGAACCTCAGAATCCACTCTTACCAACTCAGGATCTTTGCGACTGGCCAAGATGTTGCCCTTCTCACCAGAGGCCTGTTTACTGGGGCTTTTAACCCGAGGAGAGCTCTCCAGGGGAGGGGGAGGTGGAGGAGGTGGAGGTGCAGCTTTCTCTTTACTGGGAGAGATGGTCTCCTCAAACCACTGCCCCAAAATAGGCTCACTGTCATCATCTGAAGAGAAAGAGAAAGTGGCAAAAATAACCATCTGTGTGTGCATGAACCTGTTTTCTGAAAGTGCTAAGTCAAAAGACCACAGGGCATGCTGATGCTGATGCGGAGGATGGGGACAGACCCTGTCAACCTGCCAAGACAACTAAATGGATACATAAAGTGCTTCCATTTTATTGTATACAAGTTATAGTGCAATAAAACCGAATTTTTTAAAGAGTTCAACAACAGAAGAGAAACCATTTCCTCTTATCTGTCTGCCTGGAAAGAAGCCAAGCATTACAAGAGCAAACTAGTCTCACCAGATGACAGATGCCCAAATGCCAAGAATCATACCCTTGGTGTTTCACCCTATCCCACAAACTTGACCATGAACGGGAAACTGAGAACTAATCTTCTCTCATACCTAAGCTACAAATCCCTGGTAAAAACCAGCCCCCCTGCCACATGACCTTTTGACCTGCACAGAGAGGGCAGAAGTCCCAGCATAGGTCAACAGAAGAGGAAACACAAGCAACTAAGCTGTATTTAGATTCTGACAGAAATGAAAAGCTACATGGGCTTGGTTGAAAGCAGTATTTATAATTTAGTATTCTACACTCAACTTAGTATTTTTAAAACGGTCTCATGTAGCCCAGGCTGGCCTCTAATTCACTTAACTAGTCAATAATACCCTTGATCATCTACCCCTCTTCCTGCCTCCCTAGTGCTGGGATACTAGGTGTGTACACCACACCTGGTTTACCAGGCTGAGGATCCAACCCAGGGCATCACACATTCTAGGCAAGCACTTTGGCAGCACTCCCTGCCCCTCAAGCTACTCTTCAACAGCACATCAGTTCTGAGAACACATAAATACAAAGGTGAGACAGAGAAGCACAGGAGTTGGAGGGCTATCTCTAGCTACCTTGGCTGCTGTCCTCCTCAGTGCTACTGAAGTCATCCTCGTAATACGTGTTGGAGTCGGTGGAGGCGCTGGCATCACTGCTCATGGAGCCCTTCCTCTGCCGCTGCAGGACACATGCCTAGGGAAACCACAAGGTTGCACAACACATAAACCCAAAACAGAGGTGGGACATTTCATCTCCTTAACGACCTACAAGTGTCTCCATATCTCAGTTGCTTTTCCCCACGCAGGACTCTCGTGGCTTTATCTTACATAAGCACTCATAACCAGAGACATTGCCAAAGAATGTAAAAGTGCATTCCTGGAATGTCCACCCTGCTTCTGCTTCAGACTTGTCACTACAAGTCACCAACGGTCAGCATATATCTAACACTGGCAATCAATAACTGATTCCAAAGCTCCAAGAAGCTTTATCAAGCTGGGTACAATGACAGCATGTGTCTGTAATCCCAGGAGGTTGAAGCAGGACGATCACCTGAATGCAGGAATGTAAAGTCCAGCTTAGGCAACAGAGAGACCTTAAGAAAGGGAGGCAGGAAAGGAGAAGAGAGGGGTTCTAGGTAAGCTTCCTTTCCAAAACTATTGCCACAGTCTACATTTACAAACACCATACTCTTGTCAACTTACTCTGTTTATGAACGGCTTGATTTGACCCACCTTTCTGTATGATGTTGAAAGTAAAGTCAGGAGCAGGTTTGTCAGTGGGACAGAGTCAATCAGCCGTTGGATCCTTTGTGTGGAGGTGCTCTGGGCCATAATGCTCAGGACTGCAGGGGGACCATCTGTCTCCCAGCCCTGAAGATAACAAAACCAGAGGTGAATTAGTCATATTACCCTGGTAAGAAAGAACCCTCACTGATGGCTCCAGCTAGCACCCCAAGTAAACCCCAAACTGATCTGCAGACTCCAAAGAACAGCCTCTTCACCTTGTGGAGCGCCTCCACCTGCAGGTCTTGAAAGAGAGATGTCAGCAGCTTGATGGCATGGTTTGCCAGAATCACCGAGAGTACCCCAAACCCCTGATGCCTAAATAAATGAAAACAGAAACACAGACCTTAAAATCATTAACAATGAAGCACAACCTCAGACACAAATAGCTGTTATGTCACCATTCAGGCATCCTAAACCCCTTTCGGGATCTACAGACCTTTCCACCAAGGCAGGAATACTATACACATAAAAATCACCCTAGCCCTGCAGCTCATTCCCGAAGCCCAGTTACTGACTGTTACAGGATCTACATGCTTCAGGGTAAGAACCGCTTCCAAATGAAACTATTTCATATCAATTCAAAACTGTTAGATAAAACATGCTAGTATTTAAATAACAGTTAATTTTTTTTCCAGATACAGTGTTTTACTGCGTAGCCCTGGCTGTCCTGAAACTTGCTCTGTAGACCAAGCTGGCCTCAAAGTCACAGAGAGCCACCTATCTTTGCCACACCAAGTACTGGGATTAAAGGTGTGCTTCACCACTGTCCAGCTAACAATGGTTTATACTATTTGGAGTTTTTTTTTGGGGGGGGATGGTTAAATTTTTAAGGAATTAATTTTTTGCGGGTTGGCAAGATGACTGAGAAGGTAAAGGTGCTTCCTGCCAAGCCTGACAACCTGAGTGCTGGGGTTACAAGGCTACATGGGTTCTAGGACTGCACAACAAGCCTATTAGCAGCTGAGTTAGCTCCCTAGCTCCACACAAACACTTGCGGTGGTACATTGAGTCTGCTGATGCTAATGCTTCTTCAACTTCCACCTCAACCTCAACAATTCCTACCCAAACACAGCACAACTCCTGCTATTCTCTTGCTCTGGCCTCTTTTCTTCACAAGAACTCGCTGCTTTTGCAAAAGATATAGGTTTAGATCCCAGCACCCACATGGTGAATCACAACCATCCATAATTCCAGTTCCAGAGGATTTGATGACCTCTTCTGACTTCTGTGGTTACTAGGCAGATGTGTGGCATGCAAATGTGTGTGCAAGCAAAAGATTCATAAAATAAATTTTGAAAGTAATAATTAAAACTAAGCACATAAAAAGAATTAAAAGAATAAATAAAATCCACAATGACTCAATTTAAGGAACCACCTGAGCAACACATTAATTACATTCATTGTTATCTCCTTCCAGCAAGCGCTGCTCATCTCCCCCCGCCTCCCCCCGTCCTGGAACTTACTCTGTAGACCAGGCTGGCCTCAAACTCACAGAGATCAGCCTGCCTCTGCCTCCTGACTGCTGAGATTAAAGGCGTGAGCAACCACTACCTGATACACATCTCATCTTTTGATCTGAACTTGCTAAAAACTCAGAGCACACACATCAGATATTCTTTCCGCCTCTCAAAGATGAAAAAACGGGATCAGAACCAACCAAGACCTATCCAGAGCAAGGGGCAGAGTGTACTTAGCATGCTCAGGCCCTGGCTACATACAATCTACAGCATGAAAGCAAACAAACAGGCTCTGATGTGGGGTCAGCAGCTCATCACCCCTGAGCAATAGGAGCACAGCAAGCACAGCGTCCAGAAGTGGAGGTCAGAGGCAGAAACATACCCTTTGCCAGGCCCCAGCTTTGGAGAGCCTACTCCCTCTTTCGTACGAGAAAGGATGTCTCTGACTCGGAGGGCAGCCAATGGGTCCTTCTCTTTCCCCTTGTCAGCTAGGGCTGTGGGACTAAGATTCAGTATGAGGAAGAGGCTGTTCAGCAGACACCAGGCGCCCAAGAGCTGAAAGTTCTGGAAGTGCTGGGGAGAAAGGACAAAACCAAACGTCAGCGGGAAATTCACACCCAAGAGAAGGTAACTGCAGCCCAGAGGCCTCTTACCTCACCACCAGCACGGCGGGAGCTGCTGATTGCCTGTCCGATCATGTCGTAGATCTCAAGCTGCCCAAGAACAAACGACATAGTCTCAGCAGGTCAGATTGCTATCACAAATCTATATCCTACTAACTACCTGAGCCAGTTTACTGGAAGAAATGTAACTGTCATCAGGTCACTCAGTAGCCTACTGCCATCAGTTTCTGATCTCATTGGGCACTGCCTGTATCTCACCCAGTGCATGACATCAGCCCAACTAATTCTTTCTATGCACTATTACAAAACCTTGTTTGCTATGTCCTACCTGGAAGTACACCAATACCCAGTAAACCCAAAGCAGTTTAATGAGAAAATGTCAATCCCACCTAAGGCTTATGGCTGCCACAAGCTTACTGAATTTTCCACAGGACCAATACAACATAGAAGGGGGAGCATCTATGAACGCAAATATGCCTAATACCTTGGCTGAATCCCACTTAGAAACTCTGTTCAGGGAAGGAATGTGGAGACTGCAGATACCCTAAGCCTTTTTCTCCATCAAGAAGTGGAACTAGCCACATTCCCACATTCTAACAGTCAAGGCTTCCATGTCACGAGACACTAGACTTACACATTTCTGAACAATCGTGGCCGCATCACTTTCATAGTCATCTTCTTTGGAGCTTGTGGATCCTGTCCTCACTTGCTGGGCACTACCCACATGAAGAATGGCCATGCAGGTGGCTACACTTACACCTGAAAAGAACAGGCACAGATTCCAGTCTTGGGGAGCTGCCTCAAACCCAAGATACAAAGATGGAACACCCCAACCACAAACAATTCCGTAATCTGATTACTCAAAAAACTCCCAAGGGCAAGTGTAAATGTAGTCCTGCTATATATAATCCAGCAGGCACACTCCTAACTAATCACCCAAATGAGTGAAAATTCACATCACACGATAACCTGCACATGAACATCTAATGAAGCTCTATTCATAACTGCCAACAAATAGAAGCAAGCAAAATGTCCTTCTAGATAAACATACAAAGCCAGGCATGGCAATACACAATTATAACCATAACATTCAGGAGTCTGAGGCAGGAAGATAACAAGCTCAAGTCATGTCTGAGATACAGAGTGAGTTCAAGGACAGGATGGGCAACTTAGCTACCATGTCTCAAGATAAAAAATAAAAAGGTTGATATTGCATATATAAACTCAGAAGTATAACACTAAAGTCTAGCATGAGTGAGGCCATAGGTTTAATCCCCAACATCTCTCTTTTTCTTTCTCCCTCTCTCTGTCTGTCTACAAAGACAGAAAAGCCATGGAGGAACCTTAATGGCTACTGCTAAGTAAAAGAAGCCAGTGTGAAAAAGCTACATATGATATGATACTAATGACACAATATTCTGAAAAGCTGATACTACAGCGACAGTAAGAAGTCCAATGGTTAGTAAAAGGTGGGGAGGACTACAAGATAAAGGGAGCAGCAGAGAGACATCTGGGGCAGTGACTATTCTGTTTGCTATGATAACAGTTAAACATGATGTCATACATTTGTGAAAAACCCAGAACCACATCACACACAAGAAGGGAATAGAGAGGGGAAGATAGACCAGTAGGGAAAACACTGGCTGTGCAAGCATGAGGACCTGAAAAAAAGAAAGCCTGGCATGGCAGTCTATGTCCATAAGCCAAGAGTTAGGGAGGATGGAGACAGTTAGACCCTGGGAGCTCACTAGCCAGCTAGTTTATGCAAAAAAAAAAAAAAAAAAAAAAAAAAAAAAAAAAAAACACAAACAAGGGGGAGCACCCCCCTGTGCATACACAAGGACACACACATCCACCCCCCACCAAACGCACACACACACACACACCCCCCCACACACACACACATATATACACACACACACACACACACACACACAGAGAGGACTATAGACTAGTTCACATGTGTCAATAGTGGCTCATTAGTGATAGCAAATGGATCAAATATCAGTAGGGAACTACGAATGGCAATGGAAGCATGTGGAAACCATGTAGTACCTGCTCATTTCAAATACCTTTAAAAGAAAATCTAAGGCCAGTGTGCAGTGCACACCATTATTTCCAGCATTTGGGAGACAAACATACACATGCACAGTAAATGAATAAATCAAAAAAAAAAAAAAAAAAAAAAAAAAAAAAAAAAAAAAAAAAAGGTAGGGGACTAGAGAAATGGTTTAGCCGTTAAGAGCACTGGCTGCTCCTCCAGGGAACCCTGGTTCAATACTCAGCAGCGATACATTGCTCATAATCTCCTGTAACTCCAGTTGTAGGAATTACATGGCACCAGTCATGTACATGTTGCACATACATGTACATGTAGGGCAAATACTCATACACATAAAATAAAATAAATCTTTAAAGAAAAAATAGTATATAGCAACTGGGTGATGGTGGTGCACACCTTTAATCCCAGCACTCAGGAGTCAGAGGCAGACAAATCTCTGTGAGTTCGAGGCTAGCCTAGTCTACAAACTGAGCTCCAAGACAGACAGAGCTGTTACAGAGACACCCTGTCTGGGAAAAACCAATCAATCAATCAATCAGTAGATAGCAATAAAGGAAGATACACAACCCTGATTGGCCTCTACATGTGCTCACAAACAGCAAGTACACAGGAAAACACACACACACACACACACACACACACACACACACACACACACACACCCCACCAGCCGTCAGGCCCCACTTCTGAGGCAACCTGATTAACAGTAGGAACGGGGCTGTATGGAAACATGAATAACACTTTTCATCTGCACAGACACCACCTGTCCAATGAAGCCATCCCCAAATCCAATCTCAGAAGACCCAACCCCTCCTTAACCTGTGCCCAAACACTCTCCACATCTAGTGCTCTTGCATTCTTTTCTATTGTTCCTCTAGAGCTGAGTTCCAGCTCTTTAAAAAACCCAGACATAAGTGGGGATGCTTGTAATCGCAGAAATGAGGAGGGCTTGCTGGCCAGCCTATTTGGTGAGCTCCCAGTCAGTAAGAGACCCTATCTCAAAAAAAAAAAGAAGGTGGACAGCTCCTGAAGAACAACACCCAAAGTTGACCTCTAGCCTCTACATTCGCCCACACATGTGCACAGACATACACATCTGTGTATTCATAGGCACCCATACAAACCCATGTACACATGTGCACACACACGTTCACAAGCACATACATATACACAAATCGAGGCCAGCAGTTAAACAGCAGGATCACTTTGATGCCTGTAACAATTTCCCTTGGCCTACGTGTGATATTAGACAGCCTCAGGGGTAAGGGCACCAAGGAAGGAGAATGGAGTTCTCAGGGTTCTCATGACCTCCTCACATCAAATCCATGTTCCACTGAAGAAAATTAAAAAGAACATAATCTCTCACCTGCATATAGACAGCTGAGGCTGAGGACTGTCACATCTTGCAGACGAGAAGGATTAAGGGGTTCCAACACAGGTAGAGAAAGGGTATCCAAGGCCATGGTTACATCAATCACCAGTGAGTGAAAACTGGAACACAACAGAGATCAGCAAGGGTCTTATGGGCCTTGCATCTAGTCTGATAAAGAAAACCAGCATGGGTAAAGACTAGCCAGTTACATCCCTTTTGATTAGAATGAAGTATGAGGTCAAGGAGCATCTTACCCATTTCGAACAGCAGTGGCGTCAGCTACTGTTGCAGGCATGATGAAGAAGGAATTGGCTACCACCGCATCCTGGAACCGATTGATGTAACGCAGGAAATACGGGAGGTTCAGGCACACGCGAAGTAGCTTCTCTGAACCACCTGGATTAACAAAAAGGCACACTGTCCAACAGGCCTGTCTGGAACCCGTTCTCCTCCACATGGCAAGATGTTTTGGTAAGCATATAGACCAGCTTTCTAACAGCAGATGGACTCCTACCAAGCTCTTGAAGGCTAGCGACATTCTGAGCGATGAACACATTCTTGGTCTTGACAGCAGAGGCCTGATCTGTGGATGGCTGCTCATCATTTTCTCCTTCCACCTGAAGAGACACACAGGCCCTATCACGACCACTTGCCTATTGCCAAGGTACAAGGCAGCTCCCTGGACATGCTCTGACATTCCACTACAAGTGGGAAACTCTTACTGATCCAGGAGAAATGGCAAGAGAAGTAGAGAAATAAACTGCTCATAAACTGTGTATTTTACATCAAACAGTGAAGCCTTGTGAGGAAAACTACACATGCTTCTGTGGCATCCACACTGAGAAAAGCTCAAGAGAATGACCTGCAAATGGTACAAACCACACAAAGGAAGATGGGAGGTAGATTTGCTTCATTTTGTATGATTTGTTTTGCATATTCTTCCACCAAAGCCATGTCACTTAACAGTGGGAATCTATTCTAAGAAATGCCTCACTGAATGAGTCTGTCGTTGTACAAGCATCTGAGTAAACGTACACACACCAAGATGTCTACAAGGTCACCAGACATAAAGTTTTTTGGATCTACCATCATGTGTATGTGCCATGTCCTGACCAAAATGGTATACTGTATCTTTTTTGTTTGTTTTTTGAGACAGGGTTTCTCTGTGTAGCCCTGTTGTCCTAGCACTCACTCTGTAGACCATGCTGGCCTTGAACTCACAGATATCATCCTGCCTCTACCCACAAGTGTTGGGATTAAAGGTATGTGCTGTCACTGCCTGGCTTTTTTTAAATTTAATTTTATTTTTTTTGGGGGGGGACTGTATCTTTTAAGTAAGACATAAAACACAATCCTTTCTCAGTCCTATTATCTTAACACATTCCCTGAAAACAGGGATATTTGGGCGAAAGAACTTACCAGAGCCTGTGGACTAATGGGAGGAGATGGTACAGTTCTAGGGTTAAAAACTGAGGTCAGCTGGTTTAAAAAGTTCATCTGTACCTCCTTCTGCCTTAGCTCAGGGCTTACTGGTGAAGCCAGATCTTTCTGGTCTTCCACTATAAAATTCAGAAACAAAAAAGGGGAGGATGAGGAGAATGCCAACAGAAGGCAACAATGGCCACAGAGGTGGTCATGTAACCAGGTGTGTAGGGCACACACCATCTGAAAGCGTTGTCACTGTCTGTGGAAGCTTGGCGGATTTCATCATTGCTGTAAAGGTGATAATTTCCGTTCTGTCTAGTCGGCTACAGCCAGTGCACAGGCCTTTGATCAGCAGAATCAAGTGTTTCTGAAAACAAAACATATCCACATATGTCTTTTAGAAGAGTCTATCCTTTGGGGAGTCTAACTAGTATGGGGTTAGACTTAGGTTCATACTACTAACTGCATTATGAAGGGCTGGGAATGCTGGGGATGTAGCACAGCGCTAGAGCACCTGGCCCAGGGTTCAGTCCCTGGGGACTGCAGAAGGGGAGTAGAGAAAAACATAACTTCAGTGAAAAAAACCCAAGCAGTGATCTCAAGAGCTAACCTTGCAAATCTGTCTTATTCTCACGAAGCATATGACTGTTATCTGTTTTCAACTTGTGGCTATGGTTAACTTTTACAAAAACAAGAGGCCTTAAAACAAACTTAGATTCCGAGTCTCAATTATCTACAACACGAACGCTTGACGCTTCCATTCCTGCATGGCAACAATAAGCCATGGCCAGAGTTTGGTAAGCCTGGCCCCTTTTCTTTTAGTTGTATGTCAGTCAGCACACCCTTCTCACTGCTACCTGCTTACACATACAGAAACTTCCCATCCCTGAAACACTCTAGCCTGTCTACAGCCTAGCAAACTACACCCTCATTGCTGAAGTTCAGCCAGATGGAGCTCTCCTGTGCTTGCAGCATAAAGACTGCTAGCAAGCTACAACAGACACAGTATGCCCCACAAACAACTATCTGGCCATCCTCAGAAAAGGTTTATCCACCTCAGCCTAATACCATCCATGTATCAGTTCCCATACTTACAGCTGGTTTTAAAATAAGGGCCAGAAATGGACCCTCTGCTCTTACCTGGGACACGGCACATGCCTCGTCCGGGTTCTCCAGACGAAGGAGAGAAAACTCAATGAGGACTTTACAGGCCGCTGCCACCGACTGAAGCTGGTTCCGGGGAACTGGAAAAGCAAAAATAGTCACTTAATTGCCAACAACTCAGCCCCACACTCAACACAGCAGCAGAACAAGCACCGGGCTCACAGAGTCTACATTCCCAGCAGTCATCTCCCCAGATGACAAAAGTCAACTGCCCATACATCAATTTATGTGGTTTTACTAGATATTAAAAGAACTATAACAGGAAACACACTGCACTTCCTGCACTTCCAATGGGTCAGCTCACCTAATGCTTAGGTCACTTTGGAAGGGATACATCATCCCTTCCCATCATATTTTTAGGCTTATTTATTTTGTTTTTTAGTGTTTTACCTATATGCATGTATATGTACCACGTACAGCCTAGTGCCCATGGAAGTCAAAAGGGTATCAAATTCCCGGGAACTGAACTTAGGTATGATTCTGAGCCACCACATGGATGCTGGGAACCAAACCTGGATCATCTGCAAGAGCAGCAATTGCTTTTAACTCCTGAGTCATTTCTCTAAGCCCTCTCCTTTTGTTTTGAGACAGTCTCAATGTATTATTCAGGCTGGCCTCAAACTCACTTTGTAGCTCTGATGGATCCTGAACTCCTGATCCACCAGCCTTACGTTCCCAAATGGTGGGACTGCAGACACACACCACCACACCCTCCTCTTTCATGTTTGGAACATGGGCAAACTGAAGCACACATACGTTAAAAGACTTGCCTAGAATTACACAATTACAACCAAGTCCAGGAGGGTTGCCTCATAAGTTCATGCTGTTGGCCACCAGAGAATCACTACCTCTCCTTGTCACAGGCCCTAAGTGACATTATGCAAAGGCTGCAATTGCTTCAAGAAGCTGGCCAGAGCTCATAATAAACAACACTGGACTGGAAGAGTTATTCAGAAGCAAATCTACAGGCTCTGTTCAGTTTACTTACTGAGCAAGTTATTCAACTAAACAATTACAATTTATCAGAACTAAAAAATGCAGAAATTCTGGAATAATGTAAAATAGGACTTGGTCACTTTGAGAGTGGAAAAATTTAGCAAATGGGGAACAAAGGTCAAATTTCTTCACATACCAAAGAACACAAGAGATTCACACTCGCACCAAAACCAGTGAAGAGCAGAAACCTCTTTAAGGGGTGCTAACCCAGTCACAACCTACCAGCATCACCCTCAATGAATCAATCTGCAGCAGGTAAATGTATTTGTGAGTTCAACAAAATGCTCTGATGCCAGACAAGTTCATAGCCAGCTTGAGCTACTTGTTGAGGTCTAAGCCATCCTGGGCCATAAGTCTCAATGAGTAAAGGAATGACTGCAGGAGGCGACTCACAAGGCCCCAGTCACAGCTGAAGTCACAGTTAATAATGATGAGGGAGGGTTTTCTTCGGAAGTGTGGTCTCTAGCAGGTTGCCCATGCTTCATCAATAGAACCACACCTGTGTGTATCCAGGCAGCACTAACTACAGTAAGGTATTAAAAGAGAACATGAAGTTGGGAGGGGTGTGTTGGTGGGATCCAGGGACAGCTGATAGAAGGAGGGGGGTTAAAGACAGACATAAATAAAGAGCGCACGTGTATGTGTGTGTGTGTGTGTGTAAGGTTTTCAAAGAATAAAAAAAAAATATTATATATAAAAATAGGCTGGAGAGACAGCTCAGCAAAGAGCAGTATGTGCTGCTCTTGCAGAGGACCCAAGTTTCAGGCGGTTCACAACCACATACAAGTCCAGCTTCAGGGGCTCCAACGCCCTCTTCTGACCTTCAAGAACACCTGCACTCATGTGCACATACCCATAAACAGACAGACACACTCACACATAATTAAAAATGAAAATAAACCTAAAAAAGTAAATAAAAACAAAGAGCAAGTAAAAGCACAGAATCACATAAATTAAAATGGAAATGACAAGAAAGAAAATAAAAATAAGTAAATAAAGTGCTTTTGAAGGAAAATGGGACTGGCTTCATGGCTATGATGCAGGTGACAAAGCCAGCAGCTTTTAAGCTCCTGTGGCTGGCCCAGGCAGACATTTCTGTACTCCTTCCTGGGGTAGAAAAGTGGGGAGAAAGTGGGGAGATCACAGCTGTCCCTACTCACAGCTGAACAGCCTGGGAGTTGCTGAAACAAAACTCCATTAACAAATTGCTCAAGGAGAGAGTAACACCCCCCACACACATCACTAAGGCCTCAGCGGGTAACAGGGCAGGCATACTCACTGAGGCTACAGACCGTGGTGATGTAGTGTGTGGACAGTGCGACAAAGGACGAGTAGAATGGCTCATACTGCTTCTCGTGGTGCAGGATCTCTGACTCACTGAAAGGAAGACATCACCAACAGTCAGTCCCCATCGTGTGCCTCACATTCCTCTACCAAGTTGCCTTATTCCACCCTTTTGGCAACCTAGTTGGCAGAAAGTAAAGGAAATGGCTATTCAATCCCATATTTAACATGGGGGCTGGGCATGGTGCTGGGACACACGGCCATATCATATGCACAAGGCCCTGGATTCAACCCCAGCACCACAAAAACGAACAACAAAAAACTCAGAGAATAAAATCTATCTTGTTTAAGAAATCAGACTTAGGAAGAAGCAGAGGCTAATGAAGAGAAAACATTTTCTTTTTCTTCTTTCCTTTTTTTTTTGAAACAGGGTTTCTCTGTATATCCCTGGCTGCCCTGAAACTCACTCTGTAGACCAGGCTGGCTTCGAGCTCACAGAGATCCACCTGCCTCTGCCTCCC